CTTGACTTGCTGACAGGTAAGACACCTCCTAACGAACTCGGCGACGTCCTTCTTTAGGCCTCACCACCAGAACGACCCTTTCAGGTCGTGATACATCTTCGTGCTCCCGGGATGGGCCAGATAGGGTGCGGTGTGTGCCTCTGATAGAATCTCCTTCCGCAACGCCTCGACCTTCGGGACCACGATCCTGCCTCTGAACTCCAAGGCACCATCGACGCCTAGCTGAAAATCCTGGACACCTCCGGCGCGAACCTTGGCCTCCATGACATGAACAAACTCGTCAGAAGCCTGCTCTCGCCGGATTCTATCTCTCAGTGTCGGCTGAAGCTGCATAGCACTGACACTGGCACTGATACTCCCCGAGACAGCTATGGGAAGTGCATCAATCGCCTGAAGCTGCATCCGGGCAAAGTCATGAATCAACAGGCTCTGCTGCGTAATGACGTACGTCAAGTCACCCTTCACCTTTCGGCTTAGGGCATCCGCGACGACGTTCGCTTTTCCCGGATGGTACTGGATAGAACAATCATAATCCTTGACAAGCTCAAGCCAACGGCGCTGCCTCATATTAAGCTCCTTCTGCGTAAAGATGTACTGTAGGCTCTTATGGTCTGTGAATATCTCGCAGCGTCCGCCGTAGAGATAATGTCGCTAGATCTTCAGGGCGTGAACGACTGCTGCTAACTCCAAGTCGTGCGTAGGATAGTTCTGCTCATGAGGCTTAAGCTTACGTGAAGCATACGCAACGACCCGTCCGTCCTGCATAAGGACACATCCCAAGCCCTGTCTCGAAGCATCGTTGAAGATAGTGAAACTCCGAGAAGGATCGGGGATAGTCAACACCGGTGCTGTAGTCAATCTACTCTTGAGCTCCTGAAAGCTCGCCTCACATCTGTCAGTCCATTCGAACTTCACAGATTTCCTCGTCAGCTGGGAAAGAGGGAGGGCGATCTTAGAAAAGCCCTCGATAAACCTACGATAGTAACCAGCTAATCCGAGAAAACTGCGAACCTCGGACGGATTCCTCGGTGTCGACCAGTTCTGCACGGCTGAAACTTTAGAAGGATCCACCTCGATGCCTGCCTGGGTAATAACATGACCCAGAAAGGATACTCGCTGAAGCCAGAACTCGTATTTGGAGAATTTGGCATACAACTTCTCTCGTCTGAGGGTTTTGAGAACCACCCTCAGATGCTCCTCATGCTCTTTCTGGCTCTTCGAGTAGATAAGGATATCGTCAATAAAGACAATAACAAACTGATCGAGGTAAGGATGGAAAATACGGTTCATGAGATCCATGAAAACAGCTGGCGCATTGCTGAGACCGAAAGGCATGACAACAAACTCGTAATGGCCGTAACGAGTCCTGAAAGCGGTCTTAGCGATGTCTGACTCCTTAATCTTCAGCTGATGTTAGCCTGATCGCAAGTCAATCTTCGAGAATACACAGGCTCCCCTCAACTGATCAAATAAGTCGTCGATCCTGGGAAGCGGATATTTATTCTTGATCGTCAACCGGTTGAGATCCCGGTAGTCGATACACATACGCATAGATCCGTCCTTCTTCTTGACAAAGAGAATGGGTGCTTCCCACGGTGACACGCTCGGTCGGATGAAACCGAGTCGTAACAGCTCCTGAATCTGAGTCTTAAGCTCCTGTAACTCTTTAGGCGCCATGCGATATGGGGCTTTAGATACTAGACCGGCCCCTAGGATAAGATCAATGGAAAACTCCACCTGACGGTTGGGCGGTCCTTCTGGAAGCTCGTCTGGGAATACGTCTACAAACTCGCGAACGATTGGAACATCATGAGGTGTCCGCGCTTTCTGAGAATCCTCAACAAGGCTTACCAGGTAACCCTGGCAGTTGCCTCGTCGCAATAACTTAGTGGCTTTCGCCATCGAAACAACATGAGGCAGTGAACGGTTCTTGGAACCGAAGAAAGTAATCGACTCGTCTCCCGGAAGATAAAGAGTGATCTCCCGGTCATGACATCTGATGTCAGCATGATAAAAGGATAGCCAATCCATCCCGAGAATAAGATCGAAGTCTCTCATCTCGAGAACGAACGCGTCGGCAGTCAATACTCGGCCACCGATGGAAAGGCTAAGATCTGAAGCTTTAGCTGAGGTCACTATCTTTCGTCCCGAGGCTAAACTCACCTCGAGAGGATCGACAGCGGTAACTGCATGAACTCCGATGGCGTTGAGACATCGGCGTGAAATGAAGGTATGCGTTGCTCCAGTATCAAATAAAGCGAACACAGGAATATCATTGAGAACAACCATCCCGGACATGGTACCTGGCTGCTGAGCTGCCTCCGCCTAATCGACCGCATAAACCCTGGCCTGCTGCCTGCCCCTCTGCTGTTGCTGCTGCTGAGGCGGCCTCTGTGCCTGCTGTCGTGGCTGCTGCTGCTGTGGTGGCTGCTGAGGCTGCTGCTGGAGTTTCTTCGGGCAATGACTCGCAAAATGTCCTGGCTCCTGGCAATAGTAACAGATATCCTGTCCAGCACGACACTCTCCCCTGTGAAGTCGACCACAAGTCGGGCACGGTGG